CTGCCCACGAGCAGCAGCTCGCTCTCCCTGCAGTGCCCCGGGCCGTGGTCTATGGCTGTGGTGTGCTCCTCGGGGGGCGATGTGGGGTTCCCCATGCTCTCCAGCAGCTCAGCCTCATTGCCCAGCCACACCCAGTCGTGCAAGTGCGTTACAGAGGCCTGGCCCTCGAGCGGCACCTGCTTGCGCCGGAACTTTAGGGCAAAAGTGGCACAGTTGATGAGGAAGACAAGGATGGCCAGGCAGAAGACGCCCAGCAGCGCGTACATGCCGATCTCCAGGTCACTCAGGCCTCGTGCTGTGGGTACTAGGCCGCCACCCTGCAGCCCAGCCCCAGCCCCTGGGAGGCCCAGGTGCCCTGGGAAGTTGGAGAAGTCCAGCGGGATGGTGTGTGGCAGCTCATCCCCTGATGGGTGGCTGTTTTGCACCGCCTTACCCTCCGGCTGTGCCTTGGCCCTGGAGCCGGCCCTCCACAGAGCCCCTTCCTTGAGTTCCCCAGCAGAGCCACTCTGTGGCGGCCCCTCCAGGCCCTTCTGCCTGCGGTCGCTGCTGCGGTTCTCGCTCTCTGCCCCTGCCTGCTCCTCCTCCTCCTCAGTGGCCCCCGTCCCGGCATCCACATTGCTCTGTCCGAACTTGACCCTGACATTACCAAAGCCCACAGCCAGCACACTTCTGCGCTTGGATTTCTGGCAGGACTCGGCGATGCTCATGTCCACGCGGACCAGCGGGCCCTGGCCGGTCCCCTCAGCCACCACGATGGGCCAGTGCGGAGAGTGCGGCTGGGACACGGACACAACAGCCTCGTCCAGGGAGCTGGCGGCGAGGGAGAAGTCCTTGCTGTCGTAGATGTCCAGGGGCGTCACCGAGCCATCACTGAACTGCAGCCAGGTGCTGACCACAGCTTCCTGTGGGAGAGAGGCAATCATGACCAGCAGGCAGAGGCCTTCCCCTCACGGCTGCTGGGGTGGGGCCAAAGGGACTGAGCAGCACCCACACAGATGGGGCAGCCCACATGAGCCGGGAAGGAAGCAGCTTTATACCGAGCTCAGGAAAGTCTGTGACAGGAAGGGGGCGGTGGGCACCCGACCCCCTCTGGGCCAGGCCAGGCCTCAGCAAGCACCCATGCCCTGCCCGCCTCCTCCTTGGCCAGCACAGAATGGTGGGGGCATTGTTCCCCTGTGCTGTGGACCCCGGGCAGCCTCCTGACTGTGGCTTGGGGCCTCCCCAGGGTTGGCGCAGTGAACAGCAGCTCTTCACACCAAGGACAGAGCCCCAGGATGGGGGCTAAAGGATTCCCTTTAGTTCACAGATGGGCTGTTTGGGATTCTATGTTTGTTTTTCTGGCCTTGTAGTGCAGGCTGACAATGAACTCATTACATAGCCCAGGCTGGCCTCAAACTTGCAGCAATCCTCCCGCCTCAGCCTCCTGAGTGCTGGGATTACACCTGGCATCTAATTCTAACATCCTGGAAAAGCTGATTTCCACTGGGCCTCACAAAGGGCTGCTGCTCCCCTTCTCCTCTCTCACAAGACAGGCATGTTATACTCCTGTGGTAAAGCGAGGCCGTCAAAAACTTCCACAGTCCAGAGCCCTGCTCTTGACCATGATGCCCGAGACCCCAGGGCACCAGGGCTGGGCCCGGCCGCCAGCCTGGCACAGGACGTCCATGTCCCATCCCCCTGCTGTGTCCGCTCTCCACCCCACTTCTCATACCACATCTGCCTTGGACCCTGCAGCTGCAGGCGGGAGGACCCAGCCATGGTGAGTGCAGCAGCAGTGCTGGACGGCGTGCTGAGCCCTGGGCGGGCATCTCCACCAGAGGGCAAGCCGCACACTGGGTCTTGGGCCGCGGCCCACTTCTGACTGCCACCCTGCCCGGCGGCACAGGATGGACACAGGGCTGACCCCATGCCATTTGCATGGACAACCACACAAGACAATGCAGGAAGCAAGAGAGTACAGTGGCCACGGCCCTCTCCCTCTCCCCTGGTGGGCAGCACCCACGGAGTCATGGAGAATGCACACAGGAAGGCGAGCGGGCTGACGCCTGAGGCGACGAGAACCGGAAAAGGCCACAAAACCACAGCAACTCAAAGGGCAGCAGCCCGTGAAAGAAAAACGAGGAGCAAGTGAGAGACGAAAAGCCACACTGAAAAGGGAGAAGTCAATGGGAAAAAGAGACCTGTGAAGAACTGAATAATGTTGAGAAATGAAACACAGATTGAAATTAATTATTCAAGGGACGTTTACAGAGCAGATCACACGTCAGAGGAAAGAGTTACTGTACGCAGACAACGCCAACACATTTCCTAAGAGTGTAAAAGAGACAAAAGGCACAGAATGTATATCTAAAGAATGGAAAGGAGGGGATTTCCAACAGCCCCCTGCCAGGAGCTCCAGAGGAGCGAGCAGGAAGAGAAGGAATTCGTGAAGTAGTAATTACTCCTCAGCAACCAAAGAAAGACTTCTGACGACATTATGTAGGCACTGAGTCGAGCTGTACCTGAAGGCACACATGTCTGGACAGGAGCTGAGAAGTCCTGCCGTGTGTTTGGGCCAGCTAGGGCTGAGTCTGCCGCTTGGAATAAAAACCCTGAACTGCCACGAGGCGGCTCTGCGGAGGGAGACTGCGCCAAAATCCGAAGACGGGGTTGGCTTAGCCACTTTCTCATCACCAAGACACAATACCAGACACCCAGGACTTAGGGCGGAGAGGTCTGTTTTGGTTCATGACTGGTGGAGCTCCAAGGAAGGAAGGCAGGCACCGCGGCAGGGCCTAGTGGAGGAAAGCGACTCACAGCATGGCGCCCAGGAAGTGTCCCGAGAAGGGAGGAGCCCTTCAGTCCACACCTCTTCCGCCAGACCCCACCTTCCCAGGGAAATCACCTACCCCTGAGATCTGATCACTTCCCAAGAGCCTCCCTCAGCGCCGGGACCCCAACCTCCTGTGAGCCCCACAGCGGGTCAGCACCACCGCTTCTCTCTGCCCCAGGGCATCTCTGGCTTTGGAAGCCCTGCTCCTGCCTGCAACGGAAGTGTGGGATTCAGCGCTCTCTGAGCAATCTTCAAAGAGTGGTGAGGAATTGTCTGCCCTTGTCTGCTGCCCATCTGTGAAGGCCGAGGCCCTCAGGTCCCTGTCTGACCTCCGGCCTCCTCCCTGTGCCTGGCCCTCCTTCCCTTCCATTTCTCTACCGGAGCCTTCTGTGGAAACGCAGACTTGGGTAGCATGTGGCCGGCTCTGCCATGCTGCACACAGAGGGGCGTGGGAGGGGGAAGGGAGGCAGCCTCCTGGGCCAGGCCAAGAGGAAATGCCACAGCCACAGCGTACAGTTCCTCGCAGCAGGCTCTCCATCTGGAATTACCTTTCTTCACCCGCTCCAGATGGAGAAAGATGACTGCAAGGCAGGCGAGGCAGACCTCCGCCATCCGGCTTGCAGCACCTTCTCCTCGAAGCCCGGCGGGGACATTGAGCCAGTCTCTAAGTGAGACCCACACTCAGCTAGGCCGACACGCAAGTTGCAGGTGCAGTTTGTGCTCCCCACAGGTGAGACGCCAGGCGCCCTGGAGAGCCTGTGCCCCATTGCTGGACTCTGCCAGCCAGAGAAACCCTGGAGCCCTCCCGGCACTGGCACAGTGAAAGTCCGCAGATGAAGGTCTCATTTGGTGGCACAGGTGGCCCCGGGATGCTCCCTCTGATGCACACAGTGCTCCTTGCAGCCCTGGCCTCCTTTCCCGCTTCCCTGCACTCCTCTCTCTGCACTTCCTACACCAGCGGGCCCCACAGACTTCCATCCTGTGTGTGTGTGTGTGTGTGTGTGTGTGTGTGTGTGTGTGTGCGCACAC